CCCATCATGCCGCTGAATAGTATAAACTTGGAATATCTAAGGCGCTTCCTTTTTTACCTTATTCTGCGTTGTTTTCGTCCATCGTTAGCAAACGTCTCCTACACCAGGCATGCTCAACATCACACGCTTTTTCTTGGCAAATTTTAAACTGCTTTTGCGGCATTTCCAGAAACGCACAGCAAAAAATACTCTTATTTTTGTGGTTCGTGGATCCCTACAACACAACGAACTATTCCCAAAGGACGTGCCATGATAGAAAGACTTGCCTGATTAGGCTGCGCTCCCATTTCACGGCAGCGTCCGTCCGTCGCAAGCAACCACCAGTGTCTCGAGCTTCTAGGAAAGTATGTATAACGACTGTTGTTGTTGGAGGCTGGTAAGCACTAGATCTTTATTCCCCACCTGACTATGAACGCAGCCTTAGCTCGAACGACAGGGCGAGTAAGATGATGCTGTGTATTTTCGCGCAGTGACGCAGCCAACAAGAAAAACAGGCGGACTACATTAATAGAGTAATTGCGAATTGAACAGAGACCTCTAGGTAAGGTGGATTGACAGCTGTGTACTTCACTTCTCTTTGGCGCCACTGCTACGCCATTTCACAAAATGGAAATGGCATCCCCTAGTTGACTGTGTAGCAGAACCTCATGCAGGACTGACGCCTTGCAAGCAATCATACATCGTGCCTTCACCTGTCCCTGGCGTTTATCATGCCGCTGAATAGTTCAAAATCAGCTTCCGTGTTTTCTTGTTGAATGAAACTCTTCAAAATGTTCATTTGACAATGTTTCGGGCAGGCCCTTCCTCAGGTCTACAATATGTACAGTCCTCATCATTACGGACTGTCGGGGCGGCACAGCCGCGCTGCACTGTGACGCGACAGCGGCTGCGGCTCGGTGACGGCGAATCAGCTGATTTCCATGGAATTCGGCTGCGAATTCCCACTTTTTCAGCTCTTCAAGCTTCGAAAGTGGAAGGTGAGTTATTTTGAACAATTTTAAATTGTACTGACTCTGAATGAATCTGAAAGAATGCAAGCCATTTGAATAAATGCCTGAAATAAGGCAAAATACAAGGAAAAGAGCATAATAATCGACATAAAAATAAAAGCCAGTACAATTCAAAATTGTTCAAAATAACTCACCTTCCACTTTAGAAGCTTGAAGAGCTGAAAAAGTGGGAATTTGCAGCCGAATTCCATGGAAATCAGCTGATTCACCGTCACCGAGCCGCAGCCGCTGTCGCGTCACAGTGCAGCGCGGCTCTCCGCCCCGACAGTCCGTAATGATGAGGACTGTATAATATCTACCGATTCACACTTAGGCATCACTTCTAGCTAAAGTGAACAAGAAACTATTGGCGATACGAAATATGCGACTAACCGAATAGCAAGGCAAGTGGTTTTGGTCCAGGGGAACGGGTTCTTCCCGGGAACCACGTGAATCACTGCAAATACTATTGGATGGACGCGGAAGGGGGAGGGGGAAGGCATATGGCGAGGACTCACCTATCTAGCTGTCCACTCTTGCAGAAATGAAGCAGCTAGATCGGTGGTGGGGAGGGCAAGGGTGATGTCGTCTGATACCCTCCAAGTCACCATAAGCAAAAAAAAAACACGGAAGCTGCTAAACCATGAAACTCAGAAATCCTATGGTACTATCAGTTCAAAATCAGTTGAGAACGTCATCCTAAGCTCTAGCTCGTTTGCACTACAATACTACAATGTAACTCGCTGGCTTTCATTTCAAAAGTGACATCGGGCTTCTTCCAGCGGCGGCACAGCGTACACAAGCGAGCTTTTCCTAGCTAGTTGCTCAGGCCGTGGGTTCGATCTCCGAAAAACTACCGTCACACTCCTGAGCAGAGCAATCCGTTACATATTTACTGGACAGATGAAGACAGCTAAACGACTGGAGAGACGCCAAAAATAGTCTATGGCGCTACCGTGGTGCAGCAATGCCGCGTCGAGTGAATAGGGTCCTGGTGCGACGTCGTGTACGTCATTAAGCTTGCAGCGCTTATTTCGCCGCAATCGCCGTAGCGCTCCAAATCTCACTACTAACCCCACAGTACAGAACAGAACTCAAAAAACCGTTTATAAAGAGATCAATGGTACAGGTTCTCCTCACCGTTCCGATAAACAGATGATAAAAAATACAGAATAACAGAGGGAGATAGAGAGGACCTATTCAATACAAATGACTATATTACATGAAGAAAACGACGATCATCCAAACTTTAGTTTAATATGGTTTGTAACCTATGGATTATTTACAAAAAGAAAGTGAATCTGTTAAGGTCTAAAAATGACAAATTATTAAACTTCAAAGTACAGATATTCGATCTCAATGTACTCTTTCTCTAAACAAGCTGCGAACTTCCATATTTCATCCATGTGTAGTATCATCTTCAACAAAGTCGTACGCTTGCTCCTTTGTTACCACATCAATGTGGGAAACCTAACAATAATATACTTCACTTTCAAAGTATAAAAAAAATGTTAAATGAATAAAAGGCAAATTTTACAGGTCAACTGAAAACCATTAATATTTCGTTACAGATACCTTATTTCTGAACTTTACGCCATAATATTTCTCCGCAGATTCCAGCAGTTCCGGTCGGAACGTAGTGGTGATGAATTGAGCATTCTCCGCCAACTCGTGAATCATGTCTGCAAGGAAAAGGTGTTTCCTCAATTACCTTCGTAAATACTTCGTCCTGCAGGCCCAGTTACGACTGAGTATCCGCTCACCCGCTCCAAGCCACTCAAACCCATGCGGGACAGGGATCTAAGAAGATCTCCCAGGCGAAAAAAAAATTGCTTTTCCCTGGCGACCACGCAAAACTTCACTTAGCTAAGGATGCGACCAGACAATTACCCACACATGAATGCAACTACCTTTCAAAATCGATACGCTGCCCTTAAAAAGAATGGTAGGCTTCTCAGCCGCTAACCTGCAACTGCTTTCCTATGTTGAGGCATCCAAGGCTGCATCAATCTCATCGAAGAGGTAGAACGGTGCCGGATCACACTTTTGGATAGCGAAAATCAGCGCCAATGCTACCAGAGACTTCTGTCCGCCTGATAGTTGCACCATTTCACGCGTTTCCGAACTTCCATCAAACGATACCTGAATTGAGCCGGTAAGCTGAAATTTGCAAAGTAATTCCACCCTCATTTTCATGCAAATCCACCACAATCAAGACCCTCATACCTTGATTCCTACGCCAACAAAATTCTCCACTATGTGACGAGGTTGACTGTCTCCATGCTGTGAGGCATCAATACTGTCCTAGAATAATAATGTAAGTTATAAAGCTGTAGCAATCACAATCAAGTAGAAAAAAGTTACGACTGACATCTTTGCTTGTTTGAATGACCAACGATCCAGAGCCATTTGGTACCAGCTTTTGGAAAACTTCGACAAAGTTCTTCGACACCTAAAGATGAGAGTTCAGAAACATCCGGAAAGTGAGAAAAGCGAGACTCTGATGACGATCTCTGGAAAGAAAAAACCGACAAACCTGTTTGAAAGTCAATTGTATTGCTTCAAACTTTCTTGTATCC